TGATAATGATATTTTTATTTAAAAATATATCACACTAGGGTTTTTGAAGGTTTCCCACAAAACTGAGATATTCTGCTATCCGGCTATCCATCATCATTAAAACACTTCTTAAATAATTTACTTCAAAGCGCGGTTCTGCGCCAGCCGCAGCAGTCGGAGTACTGTGTGTGAGATAATCATTTCCACGCGTCACTTACATCTGGAGGTAAATTGTGCAATACCTACTGCGTTTGCCGGTAAGACACTGCGATTCGAGAAACTTTATTCTCCTTTGGTTATCAGTCCTTAATAACAATTTTCAAAACTTCATAAAGTGTATGTTCTTTTAAATTTAGACTTATTATATCCAGAAATGGCGTATTAACTATATATATGTTTTAAAAGCAAACACAAAAAAATAATTAACTTGTATTCTCAAACGGTGTTTCATAGTAAATTAAGCCATAAAACGTTATCGTACAACACTGTGTTGGTATAAGAACGCCATTCGCCATTGCCAAATATTCCATTCTTTCCCATTGGTTGCCAGTTCCTTAAAATTTCAAAAAGTGTACCTATATTCTTTAAAATATATGCTTATTATATCCAAAATATTGCACACTTACTATGATAACGCTAAACGTAAACCCAAAAGTAATTAACTGCTGTTTGCGAACCTTGTCGCAAAGTGAATTAAGGCATAAAACGTTATAGTCACTTAAGCGATCCCGCCACAGCTCTTAAAACGTAACCGAGCGTTAAAACAACGCACAAGCACTACTCATGTGAGCTCGAATCGCTAAACCGGGATAGATTGCCTAATCGGCCCATTTAGCGGCGCCACCGATATCGTCGACGCTGATCCGGGGGATCCCTAATCGGAATACGATGAGCGGCATCGATCGCAAACAGATCACTGGCACACGTGCCGTCGACTAAGTGGAGATAAGCTCGTATCAAATTTATAAAGCCATGTTATAATTTAATTTTACAAAATCATATACCTATATATACCTTTCCTGCATGCTGAACATTTTTTATAGAATAAGGGTGACAAACGAGCACGTTTTAAATAAAATATATAGGGCAAAGTCTAGATGAGGATATGTAGATGCAATGGACAATAGACATCTACATCTATCATTTATTACAAATCAAAATGCAGATGTGTTGTCACCCCTGAGGTTTAAGACGAAATGCCACGTTAACAGTAAAAAAGGGTCTCCGGTTGTCTGTCTACCGACAGCAGCAGCAGGATAATCCTGCTGTTTCACGTTGGTGTTATATGAGAGCTTGGTTTTAAGCTGGTTGTACTGAACCATTCGTGTTGCAGCGTGGCTCTACCACGTATTCTTTTTTTATAGGATAGGGGGCAAACGAGCATACGGCTCACCTGATGGTAAGTGATTACAACAGCTGCAACACCAGGGAAATTGCAGATGCGTTGCCGGCCTTTAAAAAAGGAGTAAGCTCTTTTCTTGAAGGTTCCTAAGTCGTATCGGTCTGGACCAACCAAATACCTACTAAGCCAATATTAATTTAAATTTTAAGAATGTTGTGATGTTGATGAGATTCGTTTAATTGACCTGTTATCGGAATTGGGAATCCTGCGTTTGCATAACTAGCAGTTGTAGTGTAAGGAAATAAAAAAAAACTCTATTATAATATGTTTTTCTTTACTCACCGCATTTATTGTTAGAGGAGCAGTTTCTTTTAAAACATTGTTGAGTACCTAAGGCACCTTTGGTAACGTTTAACAATGTAGATCAAAGCCAGAATGTAGGAAACGTATGTCCTCTACAAATAAACTGGCGTAATACAATAAAAGTAGCTGTATTTGTGGTTCATTTCTAGTTTCCAAATACAAAGAAATTACTTATTGATAAAAATTATGAAAATATGTTCTTTTATAACTTCCCCTAAAAAATTTAAAATTTTTCGAAAATTAAGTTTTCATCAAATCTTGCCGTTTTCAGGTCACTGGAACCTACCCTGACCTGAGCGCGTCTGCGCGTGTGCGCGTGTGCGCGTGAGTGCCGTGCAAGCGTGCGTGCATGTGTGCATGCGTGCATGTGTGCGTGCGTGCGTACGTGTATGTGTGTGTGTGTGTGTGTGTGTGTGTGTATGTGTGTGTATGTATGTAAACTTCTTATAAGGTTGAACGGCTTGACCGCTTAAAATGAAGTAAGTGGATTTCCAAAGTGTTTTGTCGAACTTAGATTTCCTATGAATTTTAACTAATTCGGACCGGCAAATTTTGAGAAATCTCAAAAATAATAATTTTGAAAAATTGTATTTTTGAAATAACTTTTAAACGGCTTTACCGATTGATTCCAAAAACTAAGGAGCGCTTTGCATTTCAAATTAGTGGAAAGTTCCAGGGATGGTCTGCAGGGTCAAATAATTTTTTATATTAAGTAGGTAGCATGACTCTTTTCTGTTTATGAATCTGTGTGACTAGGTACAACCCTCTTACCTATTTCTACTTCTAGATAGTTGCGCTTGCATTGCTATGTTCCGGTCTGAAAGGTATAGAGAGCTACTATAGTTACAGGCTGTGAGGCATCCCATCTTGGCTCCCAGAGGTGACAACGCATCTGTAGCTTTCTTTGTGTGAAGTTAGTTGCAGGTGTCTACAGACTGCAGTAGCCACTTACCATCAGGTAGATTGTTAGTTCATTTATCAGTTTTTTTATAGGATAAAGTTACAAACTAGCACACAGTTCACCTGATGGTAAGTGGTTGCTATGACCCATAGACCTACATGTATCCATATCCATGATTACGAAACAAAATGCAGATGCGTAGTCACCCATGAAGTCTAGATGGAATGCCTCATTTCCAGTAAAAAGGATCTCCGGTTCCCTACACTCACCACACGAAACAGCAGCATTAAGCTAATATTTTACGCTGGTATTCTGTGAGGGCGTGATCCTTCCCCGGTCGAGCCGACCCATTCGTGCTACAACTATACTACTAACATAACTGCAGCTTGGCTCTACCACGTGTAAAACCAGTTACCAGTTTAGTTTCATAAAAAATACAGTTTTAGATTATTGTCTGCAAATTTAGAAATGTTAGAAAAATACGGTTTTATGGAACTGTTATTAAAATAAGTCTCTTTTTCATATTATTATGTATTTGTAATTAAAATTTTACCCTTTTGTATATCAAACGATGGAACAATTTAATACTGAGCTTTAGTAAGAGCCGCAAAACATTTCAGGGGACAGTCAGAATGTTTATTGGTGTATATGACGTAAAGTAACGATAATTTATGAGCTCAATCCGTACTTGAATATAAAAACACCCACATTCTGTCCGTTCACGCGCCGGTGGCTCACAGAGCAATAACGGGATGAAATAAATTGTATTTATTTAGGAACCTGCCCCTTTCATAAATGTTATCGTTCATGTTTCCGTTATAATATGCATCCTCACTGGCTATAAATTAATTTGCGAACCGTGCGGATGTATCTTTGTTATTTCTTCCGAAAGGTGTGGACGGAAAATAAGCACATGGAGCTGCTGTTTTATATTAACATTTTAAAGTTATTATTGAAGTAAAACTTCTTCAGGCGCGACTTTAATTTGATTTTATTTATTTAAATACGGTTAGGATTTCAAGAACGTGAATTAAGTTCACGGCTCGAGTGAATAACCTTTCTCTTATAGGCTTCGGACGCATTAAAAAGTAGGTCATTTACAGAATTAAGCCAAGACAACTCATATATTCCGACTGGTCCCTGCTGCTGGTCTTGAGCTAATTATTCTGAGTGAGATCTCCATATATTTATCACATTTTTATGTATCTTCAATGACCACGTGTGGATGCAAAAGAAATAATCCACAATATTCGTTACCACTCCGATAAATACATCTTCTGCTGTTGTCTAGCCTGCTCTCATTTCTGAATAAGGTTTTTAGTTCTGCTCTGCTTTATCTGGCAAACGTCTGTAGCGGTGCGCACACCTATGTGTTGTCAGATATATCAAAATATTTTTTTCTTAATTTCTTAAGCTCGCAGTTTTTCTAACTGCAGGGATTTCCTAAAGCTAAATAAATACTTCAATTTGCAAGTAACAATTTGATTGCAGCTGGCGGTGATCAAACTCTGTTTCTTCATCATGAACATTACAGTCCACCTGATGATAAATGGCTACTGTAGTCTATAGACATCTGCAACCAACTTCAGGGAGGGCCACAGATGAGTTACCACCTCTGAGAGGACTAAGATGAATGTCACAACCAGTAATAATACCGGCACTCGATACCCTGCAGGCTGGAACACAGCAGTGCAAGTTTTTTTTTATAGGATAAGGTTAAGTATTCGTTAAGAACAAACGAGCACACAGGACACCTGATGGTAAGTGGAGGCTGTGGCCCATAGACATCGATATTTAAAATCGATTAAGAATCCAAATACAAATGCGTTGTCACCCCTGAGGTCTAAGATGGAATGCCTCGATTCTAGTACAACGGGTCTCCGGTTCTCTCCACTCACCATACAAAACACAGCAGCATTAAGCTGCTATTTTACGCTGGTATTCTATGAGAGGGTGGTCCTGCCCCGGTTGAGCCGACCCATTCGTGCTACAACCACAATATAGCTGCAGCGTGGCTCTACTACGTATAAAAGTTCTGTTATTTGGCAGCAAAATTAGTTAGAAGGTGTTTGGGATGGTAGCCCAGCCGGATTCCTAGGTAGGAAAGGGTCCTAGCACTTAGTTACTGCAGAATATAGGCAATTCCCTGTGAATGCAAAAGGGAGATATTCCCTATAGTTGCTATTCTTTCGCAGGTGAACTGGCAACCGCAGTCTATTTATTAATTGAAGCTGTTATCAGAAAGATGTTTCGCATGTTTCAGTTTTCCATATCGCCTTTTATAACGCTCACGGGGTGTTATGGGGTAATGAACTCCGCAAGTACACGGCATAATAACAAATCTCTATGGTACTCTCTCCACATAACGGTAACTCTGTTTGTGCCCGTTCAAAGAAGAAAAGTACAAATACTTACGTCCATACAATTATTGATGTTGTTCGTGATCTTCACATCTACTTCAACAGTTTCGCCAACTTTTAAAGCAGGAGGAAGCGCAAAATCCAGTTGAATAGGACGGAAGACATTTATAGTGCGTGGAGCTGAGAAGCGAAGTCCGCGGTTCGATAGAGAAAGAGCCCATAGCGACCATCGACCAGCTTCGGATGGTGCTGAGATTGTCACTCCGTCTGTCGATAGCTGGTTCCTGAGAAAATGAAACACCGTTACAAGGATTGTTAAGTACAAATATGTTATCTAAAAACCTAAATAAACCCAACCCGTGAATCGATATTAACATTTCGATTGTTTAACTATTGTGTATATTTCGCGGACAGGGAACTTGTTAATATATTTAAAGTGTTTTTTTTTAATACACCAAAATTACATTGTTGTCAAAATATATTTTTCATCAATGTACAAATTTATTTTAACTTCCAAAATAGCTATCATAAATTTAAAATATTTAACTATTGCAAATTATGTTTAACTTTTATTAATGTAACGAAAATGAAGTTACATATATTCATATTTGAAAATTAATTTAATGTAGCCGACACAAGCTTTTAATGAGGTGATGTCCAATAGTTTCAACAAAAATGAGTTTTGTTGAAACTATTGGCCCATAGCGACCATCGACCAGCTTCGGATGGTGCTGAGATTGTCACTCCGTCTGTCGATAGCTGGTTTCTGAGAAAATGAAACACCGTTACAAGGATTGTTAAGTACATATATGTTATCTAAAAACCTAAATAAACCCATCCCATGAATCGATATTAACATTTCGATTGTTTAACTATTGTGTCTATTTCGCGGACAGGGAACTTATTAATATATTTAAAGTGTTTTTTTTTAATACATCAAAATTACATTGTTGTCAAAATATATTTTTCATCAATGTACAAATTTATTTTAACTTCCAAAATAACTATCATAAATTTAAAATATTTAACTATTGCAAATTATGTTTAACTTTTAATAATGCAACGAAAATGAAGTTACATATATTCATATTTGAAAATTAATTTAATGTAGCCGACACAAGCTTTTAATGAGGTGATGTCCAATAGTTTCAACAAAACTCATTATAATAATTCAACGTAAGCATTGTTTCCAGCCGAACTAGTTATAGTATGTTAATTAAGCAGGACAATGGAAATGGCTTTATCGAAAAACCGTATAGTGGACGTAATTTCATCGGACAATTTAAAACATTAATCCAATTGTCTCGCTTTGTGATAGACCTCGAGTATTTTAATGTAAAACAGGCACCATACTATTTGTTACGAACAAGAATTATCCTACAAACAAACAGGGACCTAAAGAAGTAGGATTTTAATATATCAGTATACATACGAAAAAAAAACTATAGATATGGGCAGATATATCTTTCTAGTTAAGGTGGCATTTTTATTTTTTATAAATGTGTTTCAAATTAAAGTCGATTCATTAATTATTAGAACTACGTGATCGTTTGACTTTAAAATAACTTCTATATATTTCTATCTATCTATGTGATGGAATTTTTACTTACTACCAACTTATAGAGGGCTGATTGACTTAAAAATTTGCACTCGTATCAAGGACCCATTACAACACATTAGTTTAATAACAATAACTTATCCTAATATCTTGATCAGAATCACCAGGATAAAGTAAAATAAATGTAAGAATCATCACAGCTTGTACTCAATTTAGTTTAAGTTTTGTTAACTAAAACTTATATTATCATTGATTTCATTCGATATAATTATATTTAAGTGGTATAAGTACAGGCTTTAAATTTACCTTTCTTACTTTGAATATTTTTTATTGGCCTTTGTAACTCAAATATGTTTAGCGAAAAGCTACATTAATATTAAATTGCCTTTGTAAATATAATAGCTTCAAGTTAATATTATGTTTTGGTTAATTTGAATCCGTAATTTCGTAGGTATTTAAAATAATAGTGTATTTAGTGTATGCTTGATATATTAACCCTGGATAAGGCAGGAGCTCTTGGGTAATGCTGAGTCTACGTGAGTAGTGGGTCCAGTGGAGTTCCAATAAAATCCTTATCCTTTGTCGTACGTGCTTAGATTATATTTTTTTTATATTTATACTTGCATAAAGAGCAATAATTCGCGCCATCATTAGCAGATGGAAAACCATAAGAAGAAGAAAATACACAATAAAGATGAAAAATCAGACTGCGGCTGTCTATGTCTTTAGCAGAATATATCTTTTTTGTACAGGAGAAGGGTGACACGAGCACACAGTCCATCTGATAAGTAAGTAAGTGGTTGCTGCGGCCCATAGACATCTACATCTATCCTCGATATCCTCGATTAGAAATTAAAATGAAGATACGTTGTCACCCGTGATGACTTAGATGAAATGCCTCGTTTCCAATAAAACTAGTCTCCGGTTCTCTATACTCACCATACTCATAAGAAACACAGCAACGTTAATCTGCTATTTTATTCTGGTATTCTGTGGGAGCGTGGTGTAACTATACCAAATAAAAAATGTTTACTTTATTGAATGTCAAAGAACGTAGCAAAGACGTAGTTAAAGCGGCGTTGGAAGTAAATAGCCTGTTTGAGTTGAATTGAATTAAATCGACAACTCATGGGCTTTTATATTCGGATGTGTCACATTTGTGTTTCGTTTTAATATAAAAAGTTCGCTTAGTATGTTCACGAGTATTTTCTTCTTCGGACACCTTTTCTAGTTCCATGACAATAAAGTTTCAGTTGAGATTTTGTGAAATAGAAACATGCAAAAGGATTTCAGCTGACCACACCGGACTTTTACCAAAAGCAGTTTGTCATTTGGCAGCACGCGCATAACTTACGTCTCTCGACAAATGATTCAGCGGATTTTGAATTTATGAGAGTTAACTTCGTGATTTATTTATTACCGGCACTATCGTAGTTTGCAGCTCTGAATTGATAATTTATTTTATGACTAAAACCGGATTGTTCGTATAGTATTCATAGTTATGACTTATGACGTACTACAATAGGAGTACATAACTATAAATTTTCGGTAATGAAACTGGGAATTGCTGATGGTTGAACATTATTTAAAAACTTTAAATAACCGAATGTATGACGTAATATGTAGGATTAGCATTTTTAATAACAAATATAGTATTGTAGAGGCTTTTAAAATAAAAAAGTTATATGATAATATGTTTTAAATTAATATTGCATTTTGTAATAATATTCTTGATGCTTTGAGTTTTTGAGAATTTTGAAATTAAATATTCTTAATTCTTGATGTCATTCATACAATTTTATACTTCATATAAGATGGAATAAGGGTAGTTCGTGAACGGTGGAAGGTACTTGACTCATTATTGATTTTAAAGTTATGATAGGGCAATTACATACATATTTTAAACAATAACCTTCTTTACTTCAATCACCACTCATTCAAATGTGTCTCTCTTAGAGTTATAACTTACATATGGTGTCTTCTTAATTATTACTTTTAAGTTGTCTGTATTTTATTTGGTTCTGTCAAAATATTTTACATTATATTCCTTTATATCCTATCGATTCAAGAAAAAAAAAATAAGCCAAGCGTTCGAGTTGAATATACGAATATTTGAATTTTTGTATATTTGATTAAAATATGATTAAACGCCATAAAAATTTCTTAATAATCGATTTTATTTTGCATGGTTTTCGTCTTAAGACTGCGAAATATAAAGGAAAATTGAAATACAAAAATTAATTTAAGCCGGCGATTTAAAGTATTTTTAAACCTTTTTTATTGACAGATTAATAGTCCGCACACATCTCAAATACTTCTATACTTAAATTTAAAAGCGTTGTAACTTATTAATCAAGCTAATCGATTCATTTTGATAATCGGATTTAATGATGTACCTACTGAACTAAAGGAGTGAATTAGGTACTTCATATTGTGGAAACTGAACTAAAGGAGTGAATTAGGTACTTCATATTGTGGAAATGCACGCCATTCATCTCTTTTTTCGATTACATAACACGCGCATGTATTTGTCATAAAATGTGTAGTGGTGGTGTAAGAATATCGTACCTGACGTCACTAATATGGCTGACATTAAAAATAAATTAGAAGAATTACTAAACTATACACGAATAATAGCAATATTTCACAATACGCACGTATAGTTAAAACATCTCCACATCCATAGCCGGTCGTGCGAGGCTGGGGGGACTAAATGGGCTGGAGGTCGAGGTGCGGGTGCCGTTCTTTGTCGATACAACACCCCGCCACCGCATGCTCCACCTCCAACGAAGAGCGAAACTCCAGCAGAGACGAACTCTGGACCGGTTTGATCTTCGTGATCTGACGTCCTGCAAAGAAACGAAAATTTTAAAATTCATACTGAATTGTTCTAAAAGTAAAGCAGTTTCGTTAAACTAAATTAGCAGAAGGCCGAGCTGCTAACATTCAGAATCACCATATTTATATCGTTATATAAAGATGGTGATGCCGAATGTTGGCAGCTCTGGTTTGTGTACTCCCTTATAGTCAACCAAATCTAAGAAATACATTTTGACAGCTGTCAAACTTATTGCACCAAGCATGCTAACCAAAAAATGGGAACATACAATATTCGATTCTTAAAAAGATTTATATCGATTATTTAGAACTTGGTAATCATTTACAGTTTGGTTTGAATAATACCAGAATAAATTAAAAACGGATAATTTAAAACACAAGATTTATCAGTTTCTTTGAGGGGCTATCTTTCAGACATGCAGCTTTCCTTAATTGCTGATAACGTGGTAAATCAGAATTTAAAATTGCAATTAAGAATTTTACTGGTGCCGGCGGTTTATCAACTTGGGTTGCTCGTGCACTTTTAATAAATATTCATTCTAAAAGAACCGTCTCAAGAACGAGACCAAGCTGTGGGCCGTAACTTTTTTTTTGTATAATATAGCATAGGGTGACAAATTAGCACACAGTCCACCCGATGGTAAGTAGATACTGTGGCCCATAGAAGTCTATATTTATCCTAGACTAAGATTAAAATGGAGATGCGTTGTCACCCCTGAGGACTAAAATGGGGTGCCTCGTTTCAAATAAAAAGTATCTCCGCGGTTCTTTACACTGACCTTACGAAACACAGCAGCGTAAATCTGCTATTTTACGCTGACATTCTGTGAGAGCGTGGTCCTACCCCGGTCGAGCCGACCTATTCGTGCTACAACTATAATATAGTTGCAGCGTGACTCTACCACGTTGAAATTGTTGTCTTTATTTTCACTCACCCTTAATAGCCCATTCTGTGAGAAATACAATCAACCGTTAGAGTGTATTCTTTGCAAATTCTTAAAAACTGTAAACTACAGATGTTATCACAGTAATAAAAAAAAAACAAGTCGCTTCCACCTTTTTACAAAAGAAGGATAATCATAAAATGCTTTGTATTTGAATGAACTTTACCATAATGATATTGACTGTATTCAATTCACTTATCAAATATCCTATCGCGTTCCAAGTGGTTCCGCAATGTATTCCAGAGAAATACTCGTCTAAACTATTTTTCACAAAAATTGGCGACTATGTTAGCGATATTCATATTTTTTGTCTCATATTTGTTCTATAATAATATATTATGTTACAAGTATTACATAATGATTGCTTATTTTTACGTGAACACTATGCATTTATTTTTAAGTAGGTTCAAATCTAGTCGGTAAAAACTAGTTTTTTAACCGGCTTAAAAATGAGGACGTACTCAATTTGACTACATGTTTTTTATGTGTGCTACCTCAGAACTTTTATCTAGGTAAACTGATTTTGATGATTTTTTATTTATTTGAAAGCCAGTGCTTTTTGTGTGGTTCCATATAAATTTGATCAAGATCTGACTAGTAGTTTTTGAGATATTCTTAATAATGCGTATTTGTTTGACTTCGAATACCTTGATGATGTTCTCATTTTATTTATATTCATGTCGGTTGTACGAAATTTTTTATTTTACCACTTGTGCTTGAAAGTATTAGATATTTTATAAATATAAATTAATGATAATATTTTTTTTATAGCAAACCAGATCCTATTTGACGACGTAAACAGCATCGATATCAAAAGCGAATTAACTAAAAGATTTGCGCAATGCAGCACTCAACGCCCTGTTTGTGAGCTTTAAATGGAAACGAGAGTTTTAGCCCGATTAGAACTGCGCCGTCAAAGATATTCTACAATAACTAACCCATGCGAGTAATTAATATTCGAATACTGGCTATTCATATTTGTGTTCCTTTGATACATGGAGAAATGAATAGAACTAACAAAGACAGTAGGCTCACTATAGAGTTGATTGAAAGTTAATGCATCAGGTGGAAAATTGCCATGGAAATTTCTAGTGAAATCTCTATCGACTAAGAGGAAAGACTAACATAATACTTTAAAAATATTTTGATAATAAGAAATAAATATTGTATTGCATACTGTTAGCGTTCGGGAAATTTCGATACATCTTCTCGTCAGGTAAGCCTGAAAACTAGATTGTACAACCAGTGCGTGTTGTCAGTGATAATTTATGGATCTAAAACGTGATCCTATTGGCCGTATGAAGACGCTCAAGGTCGCTCAGTGAGCTATGGAAAAGCCTATGCTCGGAGTTTCTCTGTGTGATAAACTTAGAAATGAGGATATCCGCAGTAGAACCAGAGTTATTGACATAGTCCAACGGATTAGTAAGCTGAAGTGGCAATGGGCCGGCCATATGGCCAGCCTGGGCAGCCTCGTACCGGTAGGCGTAGTGTAGGGCGACCCCCCACTAGATGGAGTGACGACCTGGCAAGACATGCAGGAAGTCGATGAATGCAGGTGGCTCAGGACCGTGCTTTGTGGCATTCCTTGGGAGAGGCCTTTTTCAGCATTGGTCTTGCGAAGGGCTGTAATGATGATGGCGATGATACTGTATTTTTTTCTTACAGCCTATTAAAAGTTCGCTGCTGAACAAGGCATCCTCCATAGATAGTCTCACAGGGACAATATTTGAAAAAATAAGTTTTCACGCTTGGGTAACAAATAAAATTTCCTGTCCGTGGCAACTATTGTTTATTAGAATTTTATCTTGTCATCAAAAAAAAATAGCTGCCGCATTTTTTTATTTCGCCACAGTTGCCACGCTTGACAGGCGAGTGGGCAACCGCAGTATTTTTACTATTTTTTAAATGTTATCAGGAAGATGCTGCTGTCTATATCGTGTTTTAGTTTCGTACTGTAGTCTCTTACGAAACTCGACACTGGACGACTTTGGGTATTGGATCATGAAATAACACTTCTTGGTTTAGAGATCGAACATACAATTAAGCACTATGAAACTATTACAAAATACAGTCTTATTTCTTAGTAATATTCAGAGATTTCGTGGCATAAGCGCGTTTGTATCCGTAAATAATTAGCACTATTTACAACATTGTAACAGTTACATGACAACAGGTTATGCCAAACAAAACTAAACGTGATACTCGTACTATTATAGCTCACTGAGCTGACTAATATATTTTTCTTGTTTAAGAATAATGAAACGTAGAAAATTGTTCGGCCATTAAATTAGTTTTTAATTATTCATGACCGACAGTGTATGACAGATACATATCTCAGTTTATTTCAATAATGTTATGGTCATTGTTGAAAATACTATTTAAGATGCGTCTGCAAACACATTTTGGTTGTATTTGAGATTATTCTGTAACAACATGAAGTCAACTATCGCACTTTTTGCTACAATGGTGAGTTGATTTTTCTTCGTTTAATATTTTTATATATGAGACACCTATTGTTATAGTTGATCTTGTAACTTCTGAACGACGTGACTGAATGAAATACCGAATATTATATTTATTCTGACTCTTTGTCAAGATGATTTAGCTCATAGATATGCTAAGATCAGCATAGTGGCGTTGTAGCTGGCTGTAGCTTGTGGTGTATATTATGACAAACTTACATACTAATATATAAATAAAGTAAACCGATACATAATAATAAAATATTTTATACACTAATATATACAATAAAACCATGATAGACTTAAATAATAATAAATAGGAAAATATACATATAATTTATTATATAGGTTTAGGCCAATTAATAATTTAACTTTTATTAAAAAGAGAAACGGACTTCCAAGAGAGAACTAGAATGTAGTCTTAATAATTACAATAAAATTTTCATTCCCTATTTTCCCATCCTAATGGATGGAATTTTATCCTTAAACTTATATAGGATCACCCTCAAAATAAACCTATCGGGTTATTCCGTTTATACACCCTAAGAAATCCACCCTAGGGCGGATACTCGGAAACGCATGTACGTTTATCCATCCTAGACGGGGTGGATAATCGGAATTCACTATTTGATTGTTGTTCCGCCTTTTCACCCCAAGTACAGTTCAACAGAAACTATATGCATGCTTTAACATATTGATTATTTTTAATAACCACAAACTTAAACAAGAATCATATTACCTATTGCATTTAAACCAAATTAAACTTCCTTGTCCTAAATAATAATAAGTAATTTATTTCCAGTAAATGACCAACACTAATTTCATTATTGAGTAGACGTAATTGTATATCCTGTATAAATTCGTCTCTAAATAAAAGACATTTTCGTAAGTAGTACTGTAGCGACAGGCTCGCCATCTCACATTTCTTTCGAAATTTTACATATTTACACATATTTTTAACTAGACATGGTGTGATTAGCCAGCTGCTCATTGGAATCTGTTTCCTCCTCGTAGATTATAGACTTTACGTATATGTAATGCACGTATAATCCACTCTTTGGATTATTTTTCATAAAGGAGTGGGCAAAAGAGCATGCGGCTCACCTAATGGTAAGTGTCGACCGCCGCTCACGAACAAATGAAACACCAGGGGAATTGCAAGTGCTTTATCGGCCGTTTAAAAGAGAGTAAGCTTGTTTCTTGAAGGTCTCCAAGCCTTAAGAAACATATGCGCCCTTTTATGACGGCAAAACTCAATTCATCCATTTTTGAGGGCTGAGTTTTCAGACTTCAGTTAAAGTTCCGTCAAATAAATTATAACCTGACCGAATATAAAACTGAAACAGTTGAACAATTTTATATTAATACAAATGTAACCTTTAATTTGTTTTTGTTGTATTGACAAACTAACCCTAAAACCCTATGAACAAAATTTTACTGATGATTGTAAAATTGGCTCTAAATGAAATAATTTACACATTTGTGTTTTATAGGCATTCATTACAATATTTGTTACGTCGCCGTGTTGGGCATTGCCGTTTCCCTTTGAAAGTTATGGTGAGTTTCAGTTATTTTTCGACATGTCTTCATTAATATTATACTTGCTTCTATAAAAGTTTAAAGTTATTAAGCGAGCTACTGAGCGAGTTGGGCTTTAGGTTCTTTTAGAATTTAAAATCCTTCGCAAAGATATCCATAGCTACAAAGGTCAGATATAATGACATGGGGACCAGGTAATTTTTCCAATAGAATAAAGTGCGTTTTAAATTATAAACATGTGCATGCAGTCCATTCTGTATAAGGTCCGAAGCACAGACTCTAATAAAATTTAATTGCAATTTTTAATGCTGAATTACGATATGCTCGATGATAAGAAAACATCGTAACCGCAACCTAACCTAAAGCTCGTGTCCTAAAAAAATAAAATATTACGAAGATAAAGGACGGGAAAGTACGAGGGGCTCTTCATTATTTCAAAATCTCCGAATATGCCAAATAGTGGACGTGCATATTAAGTTACTTCACTAATCAATGCAATAACATATTCTAAGAGTGTTGTAGAGCCACGCTGCAGCTATATTATGGTTGATGCACGACTCGATTGGCTCGACCGGGGAAGGACGAAGCTCTCATAGAATACCAGTGTAAAATAGCAGCTTAATGCTGCTGTGTTTCGTATGCGAGTGTAGAGAACCGGAGACCCTTTTTACTGGAAACGAGGCATTCCATCTTAGTCCCCCGAGGTGACAACGCATCTGCATTTTGATTCTTAATCGAAGATAAATCTAGATGTCTATGGGCTACAGCATCCACTTACAACCAGGTGGATTGTGTGCTCGTTGTCAACCTATTTTTATAAAAAGGCTCATTTCTATCATTAGGCTAATCATGGGCTCTTGTTGGAATATTTCCCCCTTCTCACTCATTAGCCTGGTAGCGATCGACCGGCCGATTTTTTTATGAAAGCAGTAGTGAAAAATGAATAATGGACACAGTCTAACTGATAACAAGTAAGTGAACCCTGTGCTCCATAGATATCCACTACGAATCAAAATGCAGACGTTTTTAGTTATTTTGCCCTGTGTTTCTGCGAGAGTATGGTCCATCCCTGGTCGAGTCAACCAGTTCAACAGACGTTATATAATTGTAGCATAGCTCAACCAAGTAAAAAATGATTTCGAATACGTCGACAATTTCTACAGAACGATTTATATACAGGAAGTGGGCGCAAGCCTTTTTTAATGATAATATCGGAGATAGTGAGGCAAACACTGGTTCGGTACCATACATGTACTGCTTTGTTCCCATTAGAATGGTAAAGATGCCCAATATAACGATAAACTATGAAGCAATTAATCGTCTGAATCATTGGTGACACCTCATTTGTAGCGATATTTGTTTGAATTTTGCTGCAGGTGTCCATGGACTGTCACAGCCTCCAAAACCAACAATTTGCACAAATTTTTGGTCCATCTGGGAATCGTACTTTGCGAGATGATTACCAGAACATATAATTACACGTTATCGATTCCATATTAACGAGTATACTAGTTGTATAGATAATTTAAATAGGTTACAGTTCCAAATTCAAATTTTAAATTTATTTTTATTATAGGTGGTAGAGCCAAGCTGTAGCTATATTATGGTTTTAGCACGTACGGGTTGGCTTGACCGGGGAAGAACCACGTTCTCACAGAATACCAGCGTAAAATAACAGCTTAATACTGCTGTGTTTCTGATGGTGAGTGTAGAGATCCGAAGACCCATTTTCACTGATAACGAGACATTCCATCTTAGTCATAACGGATGACAATGCATCTGCATTTTGGTTCTTAATTAAGGGTAAATGTAGATGTCTATGAGCCACAGCATCCACTTACCATCAGGTAGACTGTGTGCTCGTTTGTCACTCTTATTTCAAAAATAAATTTGGTAATACAGGTTAGGACAAAATAGATCTTTGAAAAAATTATGTTCGCTACATTCAGCCCTTAGGTATACAAATATTATA